ACATATTGAGAAAAGCAATATAACGGTCCCTGTGGTATATATATATATTAAAGCAGACCATGACTTATGAATAGTAATTTTTGAAGCTGTGTAAATCTGGTCATTTTATTTATCTCAATAATCCAGTATCGTCCTCGAAATACTAACATGACAATATCCTCTTCATCTAGGAGTACACCGTCATCGTCTCTCCAATGAAGTCCTTACATAGTTGCTACCTCCCACCGACTTCTTTTTCTCACAGTTGATTCTTCTTCTTCTTGACCTACTTTTTCCATCGATGTAGAATGCTAAAAACACCGACGATTCGTCGTCTCCTTCCCAGACCCCTCCACCGCCTCTTTCCGTTTGGGTTTCTTCTTCGTCTGTTATATGGTTACCGTCTTCCTTTTATTTATCTACTACAAGTTATACCCAAATCTTTATTTGATTCCTTAATATTAGCTAGGAAATTTTGGAAAGATTAGTATCTGTTGATTTAGTAGATTAAAAGATCAGTGATGATGTCTCTCTTCGTATAAAATGGAAGAACCCTAACTTCTTGCAGCAGCCCCGACCCCCGTCTTCTACCGCCTCCATCATCTTCGACCCCCTCCTCCAAAAGCCACCACCTCTGCTCGGAGATATACCATCATCGCATCCAACACCGACAAAGAACGACCTGCATATCGATTAAAGAAGGAGGAAACCTATGTTATTTTTGTGGCTTCGATTTGATTAAGAGGCAAGAAATGAGGTGGGTCTCCATATGCATGTTGCATCGATAAAAAGAAGTGGAAAAGGGGTAATTGATTGAAAGAGGGAAATAACAAGACGTCTCCATATTGCCGCCATACTGCCAATTGCCACCAGCGCCTTAACGGTCTTCTCCAAGCCAACACCATAATCTTCAAAATAGGAACAAATTTTCGAATCACCAAACCGGGTTTCAATTAATGTCATTATATATGGTACTCTGCTCATCTTTACTTCGTTCCTCTATTCCTCAAAGGCCACTGATCATAACCTCACTGAAATCGTTTAATCATTGGTTTTTCTTAAGGATTTTAGTAACAAATCTATAATTCCACTAATCATATCTTCACTGTTATCGCTGCCCCAGGATTCCACTAACTAACCCCAAGGTAAGGGACTTTCTTTTATAATTGGGCAAAAGGAAAACAAATGGAAAACAGTCTCATGATGGATATAATTTGATTTTGGTCAGGAAATTATTAAATCAAATATGTTTATTACCAAGTGTGTTTGTGGAATGTAACTTTCTGTATTAATCGATACATGCTAATCAAGTTCATATGGTTTTAACTTTCACCATGTAACTTTGGTGGAATGTATATTCTTTAGTGAATAGATCCATGGCAACACAATGTATGGGCTTAACGGTGGCTTGACTAGAAGTATGAAGTGTAAACATGTTAAGACCTTAGATTTGTTAATGAGGTTGCACTATCTTTAAGTTTTAAGAAGCTAAGATAGAAGTCAAAAAACTTGATTTGGATGGACTTCTCATCATTGGTGGGGAGAACTCAAACACAAATGCTTGCCTTTAACAAAAATTTGTAGGTTTGTGATGTTTCGCTTTTGCTAAAACAAGGGAGTAAAGTTAGTGCTTAACATATAGATTGCCAACAAATGAATATTTTTATGTACGTCTGATAGTTCACCAATGGAACTTTTATACCGTTTTCAAGATATCGTGAGAGTAAAAAAAAACATGTTTTGTTGCAATATTAACTTATAATCTTGCTTTCATATCAAAATACACATTATATAAAATATTGTTTTTAGTTACAAGAGGTATTGTAAAAATTGTGTTACTTTATGATTATCGCGAAATAAACATTTTCTATACTAACTTCAGTTTATCATTGTTAGATGATAGAATTTATTTTGTGATTGAAATGTATTATTTAAAAAAAAGAGGAATTCTTTGTTTTTTCCTTGATTACATTTTCACAAACATGAGGTTGTCCTCCCATCGCTTTCGCTTCTAGCATTCGCTTCCCTGGGATCAATGTGTGTCTATTTCTTCTGTTACCCAAATCGTAAATTAATAACCACAAGTAGTCATTTTGTATTACTTATTGAGATTTTTATCTATAGGTTCAAAATTGATGCAACACCAAATGTCAATTACGACATGTTAAGTAACCACAGTGATCAACACAAGGTTTCACTTTCAAAACTTTTCAAAAATGTACTCATAATTGCTTTATTAAGTTTAGAAATAGCTTCTTCTACTAAAAATTTGCATTAATATGAGCAACTGCCCAAGGAACAACTGGTTTTGGGTCCCCCTAATTAATGTCAATCATTTATAAGACTTCATCAACTTCATAACGGTATTGAAGCGTCAAAATTTGATGCACTAGTGATGATAATTTCCCAAACAAATGAGCAAAGAGGCCAAGATGAAGTGAAGCCCCCTATAGGACTACTACTCTATCTCTCTCACTCTTCGAGTTTTCTTATTTCTGATTGTTTAATTTTTCAACCGATCTGTTAATCCGTTCTGATTTCTAATTCTCTAAATTCTACAAGTTCAAAATACTGATTTCTAACATCTATAGTTCTAAAGTTCCATTGCTAACTGAACTAATTTCTCAATCTCTATAACTCTATTCTCATATCTCCGAGGCTGAATCTGATGGTAAGTGAAGTATGTTAATCACTTAATTTTTATTCTCTCATCTTTTAAGTTTTTTGGTGTTTCAAGTTAGAGTTAGTTTTGAGGAAGAATGAAAGATGTTGAAGATGCAGAAGCAATGCATGAGTGACACCATGAGTATGATATGAGTGAACTCTTTTGAAGGCTATTTTAGTTTGACTAAATTGCACAAATGGTCCCTGTGGTTTGCTCAAAATTGCCACTTTGGTCCAAAAAAGTTTTGACTAGCACCACAGGTCCAAAATTTTCATTTTGTTGCGATTTTAGTCCAATTTGATTTAGAAATATTTAAAATGACGGATTTACCCTTTGTACTTTCTTTTTCTATTTTTTTTATTTATTTAAATGTTTTTTCTAATTAAAAGAAAAATAAAAAATAATCTCTCTCTCTCTCTCTCTCTCTCTCTCTCTCTCTCTTCATATATCTATTTTCGTTCCAGTCAAGTACAGCAGCTCCAAACATCCTCGACCCTTACTCCTTCCTCCCCTCATCTCTCACGCGTCGACCTCGTCTGAAGAAATAAACAGAAGCAACAGGAGTCGTCGGAACGAGGACCACCGGCTGCCACTGTATGGTCACCACAGGGACACCACTGGCTGCCACCGCCCTCCCCCTGTCGTGACCCATTGCCATCAAACACCCCAACTTCGCTGCTTTCTTCCACCTGTTGCCTCCGTTCCAGCATTCACCTGTCATCCGCTGTAATCAGTCACCAATCTACCACCTCCCATTCCTTTGTATCCACAGCACATATGCACATCATTAGATCGAAATCCTTCTACATCACATCAGAACAAACCCATTACTGCACCCACGATTAGAGACATCACCCTATTCCTTCACCTTCATCTACCAACAGTTCCCCACCCATGTACAAACCACTTTTGAATTCAATTTGTTCATATACAAAAAAGGAAAACACCACCGGTTACCTGTGACCTAAAATCAAAATCAATCTTGAAACATTAACCAAATTGAATCATTCATCGGATATACATCAAACGAACTGGTTCAACAAAGATCAGAGAGATAGACATGAGCAAATCAACTAGATGAAAGAGGGAGGACATGGATTCCACAACCATCGCTTAATCTGAATCAATTTCTGATGTGAACCCTAAACCTAAAATCGATTTTTGTAGATGTAGGGATGATCTTCACCAAAACGGATCTCTCCATCGTAACAATCAAGAAGAATTCCACAATAATCGCTAAATCTGGAGGGTAGGAAACTGTAATTCGCCGACCACCGCCTTCGCCTCTACCGAGAAATCCAAAAATCGACATCAAGCCACATTTAGCGAATCCACACATACGTGGGTTACTCCGAGAATGCTTTCAGTTACTCCGAGATCCAAAGAGTATGTCGACCCAATCACTTTGGGGTTTTTCTTCACGATGGATGGTCACCATAGGAGGTTACTGTGCCTCTCGGTGGTCACCACAGGAACACCACCCTTGGTGGTGTTTGTACTCGGCGGTGAATGGAGAGGAAAGGTAGCAGGCGGTGGTGGTTCTTGGTTTGAATAAGGAGGAAGATGGAGGAGGTCGAGAAACAGTGGTATTGGTTGGTGAGATATGAACGAGAGGGAGGGATGTTTTGAGTGAGGGAGGGTTATATGTTTCTAGAGAGAGAGAGAGAGAGAGAGAGAGAGATTATTTTTTTATTTTTCTTTTAATCAGAAAAAACATTTAAATAAATAAAAAAATAGAAAAAGAAAGTACAAAGGGTAAATCCGTCATTTTAAATATTTCTAAATCAAATTGGACTAAAATCGCAACAAAATGAAAACTTTGGACTTGTGGTGCTAGTCAAAACTTTTTTGGACCAAAGTTGCAATTTTGAGCAAACCACAAGGACCATTTGTGCAGTTTAGTCTTTTAATTTCAACTTTTATTTCATGGGTACATAATTATTTATAGATCCACTTTAGTTTTGTGGTTTTCTTGATTTCTGTTACATGATCACTTGCTAAAAAGACTAATTTTTGTGAGTTTGAAGGGTATTAAGGAGTGAATTACTACGAGGATTTTGAATTTTGTATGGCTTCAATATTTTGTTCGATAGATGTTCTTTATTCTATTTTATGGAGTATAAGTTGCAATTTAATCTGTGTATCCAAAATTGGTTGTGTTGTTATATTTTGGTTTACTAATAATTAATAAAAGCAATACGAAATTGTGTTTATGATTAGGTTGCTCAAGTTATTTCGGAAGTTTGATTTGGCCCAACTTCATGGGCACAAACAAACGGCAAAAGCTAGTAAGTAAGAATGTGTGATCAAAATCCTAAAAGCCCAACTAATGTGGTGAGGCATGTTCCTCGAACGGAGTGGGGTAAAAAATTGAAGAGATATTTGGAAGATTGAAATGAGATCTTATAGGCTTTGCTTCATTTATACAGTTACATTATTCTAATACAACTGTTAAACCTCATTCTTCATCGATTTTAATTATTTGATAATAACTTTCTATATTTCCAAGGACTTTATGTTTGCTTTTGTCCCGGCCACGAATCGGACCGTGCTTGGAGCCCCAATACAACAGAAATTTGCATGGTGGTCGTTTCCTAAAAACTCCTCTTGTTTCAATAGTTATGTTAGTTTCATTGTGCCCTCCCTTATTCATTTGTCATGTTCCTGTTGTTGTTCTGTAAATTAACGTCGCAGCTAGGTGTTCAATATGCTCCACTCAGGTGCTCTACCAAAGGGAGGCCCAACATAATGTCAAATACATGTTTAAACATAGGACTTATTAATTCTTATTTTAGAGCAAGTGGCCACCATGGAAGGAACTCAATCCTTTGATGAAAATAGCAACAAGGAATGCAAGGAGAAATACAATGATTAAAAGAGTAATTGAGGATAATACTAATTGATAGAATCCATATAAATTAAATACAAGTATCCTATATATGTACATACAATAAGCCAATAACAAACTTAACAACAATAGCCGAGTTCAAGCCACCTAAATCAAGCTTTCTTGCTATAGTTGAAATCAATGTTTTCTGGAGACATTTTGCATATCTTCCTATGCATTGAATGACAGTCCTCCTAAAATGCCTTGTTTGTATGGCAAGTATGTTTTCTTCTTCATGTCATTCGCAACTGCCCGGTTCATATTGTAATGTAGCTCGTGAGCCGACACCTGTCCCCTTCTCTTTGAAATGGATCCAGATTTGGATGAGTTACTAAAATCTTGATCCTGTTTCCTGAAGATGGTTGAGTATTTCTTCAAAGGGTATTTGTCCATTGCTCTCCCATCTGAAGCACTTCTGAACAGGAACAGATCCCTGAAACTCCATTTTCTCGACCCATTTTCCGACGAACAATCAGGAGTACTGGAAGACACTGAAATGGATGGTGGTTTTGTATCCATGGCTATTGGTTGTTGCTGACGACGATTATCTGAGCCCCCGATTGGAGACATCGATCTTGTTCTTCTACTTCTCGATGAAGGTAAACGAGAAGAAGAAGGAGAAACGCCTCTCTCTCGTCCTCTTTCTCTCTCTGTCGCCCTCTCTCGGGGAGGATCAACGGTCTTGATTATGCCACCGTGGAATAAATCTTCAGCCGAGATTGAATCCCTGGGGAGATGGAAACTTACATCAAATGAAAAATCATCTTCAAGTAAGTTTGCGGATGCCTTTGGAACGCCGGGTTTCTCTTCCCAAGCAAATGGAACGGTGGCAAGAGAACTACTCCGGTGAGTTCCTGCGGAGATTAACAACTCATCGAACCCGCAATACAACTCTGTCAGTCGTGTGGGGCTCGACGGAGCACTAGTGTAGTAACCGCCGGCGCATGATGAAGAACTGAAGTCGAAATCCATGGTTGGAGCAACTTCCATGGTGGTAGGTACGTTTTAGAAGTAAGTGAGAGAAACATCCATGGAGGGTTGATGATTTATATGTCAAAGGAAATAAGGGATACGACTGAAGAAGGAGGGAAGAAGGTAAGGGAGCCAAATAAAGTTGACTGAATTTAAAACTAAATAAAATAAAATGGAGATGGAAGTCTAAATTGTCGTCTTTGTTTTTTAGTAAGGGAAACGTTGCCTTTCCTGTTGTTTGTTCACGTGGGGACTACAAGCATTTATTTGTTTAGAATATCATTTATTACATGAATCATTGAGTATTTATTTGTTTTATTATATTGATGGGAACAAAATTTCACCATCATCTGCTTTTATATGATTTTTTTAACAAGTGAATAGAAAATATATTTCTTTGATCTCGGGCATATATAAGCTTTGACAGATTGATAAAAAAAATGTTTGGTGTAAATAATAGAAGAGTAAGTAGATAGTGTAATAGTGTAATTAAGGGACATGGAGGTTAAACATGTATTTTTTTATACACAATGCATTACCTACGTAGTTCGCTTTGCCGCTTAGCGAAAAAAGAAATAAAAGGAAGGGATTGATATAATACAATCTAAAGCAGGAGGGAATAGTGTCATAGAAATCACACTTTCTCCACTGAAACATAGACATCACATCACATTTTACCATAAAAGTGTGGTTCCTTGTCACCCAAGGAGTGATGTCACACTTCTTTTTAACAATTTAATTTTAATAAAAAAAACATAACATATTATTACTTCAAAATAAAAATACATTACTCATATTAAATTATTAACATAAACCATAATTCATATTTTTATATAATAAAAAAATTCATTATTATTGACAAATTCATTATTATTTAGATATCTATATATAAAATGAAAATGAAAAAAAAAAGTAAAAACAATAAAAAAGCAAGATATATAGGGACAAAAAAAGAGTTAAGTTGAGAAAAAGAAAATTAAATACCCATATTGGAAATAGATGTTAAAGGATTTGTTTTAATATAAAAAAATTGGATTTCTCAAGAAAAATAAATGAGAGAGAGAGAGAGGAGGTGCGGCCAAATTTTGCCACACTGCGGCTAGACCGCACTCTAGACCACACACAGGGGGCGATGTTTCCCTGCCACGGTGGCGAGACCGCACCCGGAGACCGCACCACTCCCACAAGCCTAAGATAGCAGGCAAGTGGCCACATGATGTTTGGCAATATATA